AGAGTTTGACTACTCTGGAAGTCAGGCGATCAAGGCTTTGAAGGAAGAGGGAATCTACACGATTCTGATCAACCCCAACATCGCCACCATCCAAACCTCCAAGGGTCTTGCCGACAAGGTCTACTTCCTACCCGTCAACGCAGACTTCGTTCGCAAGATCATCCAGAAGGAGCGACCTGATGGTATCTATGTGACCTTCGGTGGTCAAACCGCCCTTCAGGTCGGTATCCAACTGAAAGACGAATTTGAAGGCCTCGGCGTTAAAGTGCTTGGTACCCCGATTGACACCATCATCACTACAGAGGATCGAGAGCTCTTCGCTCGTAGCATGGAGTCGATTGGCGAGAAATGCGCCAAGTCTGCATCTGCCAACAATGTAGAAGAGGCTATGCGCGTCGTCAAGGACATCGGCTTTCCTGTCATTGTCCGAGCTGCCTATGCTCTTGGTGGGCTCGGAAGTGGCTTCGCAAACAACGAAGCTGAACTGCTCGACCTTTGCAACAAGGCTTTCGCTGCCAGTCCTCAAATTCTCATTGAGCGCAGTATGAAGGGCTGGAAGGAGATCGAATACGAAGTTGTCCGAGATTGCCGAGACAACTGCATCACAGTCTGCAACATGGAGAACTTCGATCCGCTTGGTATCCACACGGGAGATTCCATTGTGGTTGCTCCTTCGCAAACTCTGTCCGACACTGATTACAACATGCTCCGAACGACCGCTGTCAATGTCATTCGCCATCTCGGTGTTGTCGGTGAGTGCAACATTCAATACGCACTGAACCCCTTCTCCAAGGAGTACTGCATCATTGAGGTCAACGCCCGTCTGTCGCGTTCTTCCGCTCTCGCCTCTAAGGCGACAGGTTACCCCCTTGCCTTTGTTGCAGCTAAGCTTGGTCTGAACATCCCTCTCAACGAGATCTCCAACTCAGTCACACGTGTGACATGTGCTTGCTTCGAGCCATCGCTCGACTACGTTGTCGTGAAGATTCCTCGTTGGGACTTGAAGAAGTTCACCCGTGTCTCAACACTCCTCGGTTCTTCCATGAAGAGTGTTGGCGAAGTTATGAGCATTGGTCGAACGTTCGAAGAAGCTATTCAAAAGGCTATTCGCGAGATCGATCCCAGCAACCTCGGTTTCAACGAAACTCCAGCCCTGATGGAGATCGATCAGGAGCTGCAGACACCTTCTGACCAGCGTCTCTTCGCCATTGCCAACGCTATGAAGGCTGGATACAGTGTCGACAAGATCTGGGAGATGACCCAGATTGACAAGTGGTTCCTCAGCCGCCTCAAGTCTCTTAGCGACTTCGAGAAATCAATGGCAAGCTACAACACCCTCAGCATCACCATGCCGCTGTTGAAGAAGGCAAAGCAGCTCGGTTTCTCTGATCGCCAACTCGCCAAGTTCTGGGCCTCGAACGAGCTTGCCGTCCGCCGCGTGCGTGTCGATGCTGGAATCTTCCCTGTTGTCAAGCAGATTGATACGGTCGCAGCTGAGTTCCCCGCCGTGACCAATTATCTTTACTTGACATACAACGCCAAGGAGCATGACATCAGCTTCAATGACAAGGGCATCATGGTTCTGGGCTCAGGTGTGTACCGCATTGGATCATCAGTTGAGTTCGACTGGTGCTCAGTCCGCGCTATCCGCACTCTCAGAGAGCAGGGCTTCAAGACAGTCATGTTGAACTACAACCCGGAAACAGTTTCTACCGACTACGATGAAGCAGACAGGCTATACTTTGACAACATCAGCTTAGAGGTTGTCTTGGACATCTACCACCTTGAGAACTCCAGCGGTGTCATTGTCTCCATGGGAGGCCAAACCAGCAACAACATCGCCCTTCCTCTGCACCGCATGAATGTCAAGATCCTCGGTACTTCTCCCGAGATGATTGACAATGCCGAGAACAGGTACAAGTTCTCTCGTATGTTGGACCGCATCAATGTCGACCAGCCTGCATGGAAAGAGCTCACCAGCATTGACGAGGCGATGGAATTCTGCGACCGAGTTTCCTACCCTGTCTTGGTTCGTCCCTCGTACGTCCTGTCTGGAGCTGCCATGAACACTGTCTACTCGAAGCACGACCTGGCCAACTACCTCAATCAAGCTGCCGACGTTTCGAAGGAGCACCCAGTCGTCATCACCAAGTACATCGAGAACGCAAAGGAGATCGAAATGGATGCCGTCGCTCGCAACGGAACCATGATTGGTCATTTCATCTCTGAGCATGTTGAGAATGCTGGTGTTCACTCTGGTGATGCTACGTTGATTCTCCCTCCTCAAGACCTTGACCCAGAGACTATTCGTCAGATCGAAGATGCCACTGTAAGTTCTTTCAGCTATATACATCTACCATGCATTTACTAACCCATGATCAGCGCAAGATAGGAGCTGCACTAAACATAACGGGACCTTACAACATCCAGTTCATTGCCAAGGATAACGAGATCAAGGTTATCGAGTGCAACGTCCGCGCTTCCCGATCCTTCCCATTCGTCTCCAAGGTCATGGGTGTCGATTTAATCGAGATGGCTACCAAGGCCATGTCAGGCCTACCTGTGACTGAGTACCCACCCACTAATATCCCGGCCGAGTACGTTGGTGTCAAGGTTCCCCAGTTCTCGTTCTCCCGTCTTTCCGGTGCTGATCCTGTCCTTGGTGTGGAGATGGCTTCTACTGGTGAGGTTGCCTGCTTCGGTCGTACCAAGTACGAAGCCTACATCAAGGGTCTCATTGCCACTGGATTTAGGCTGCCGAAGAAGAACATCTTGCTGTCTATTGGTTCATTCAAGGACAAGTTGGAGATGTTGCCTTCAATCGAGCGTCTGCACAAGATGGGCTACAACCTCTTCGCCACTGCTGGAACTGCTGACTACATTCAAGAGCACGGTATTCCCGTTAAGTTCTTGGAAGTATTGTCCACTGGTGAACACGACGAGCAAAAGCAAGAGTACTCGCTTACCCAGCACTTGTCAAACAACCTCATCGACTTGTACATCAACTTGCCATCCAGCAACCGTTTCCGCCGACCTGCCAACTACATGAGCAGAGGATACCGTACCCGTCGTATGGCCGTTGACTACCAGACTCCTCTGGTGACCAACGTGAAGAACGCGAAGTTGTTGATTGAGGCTATCGCTCGCCACTACGACATGGAGATTAGCAAGGTTGATTTCCAGGAGTTTGCTGCAGCTCCCGGAGCCCACGATGCATCTTCAGGGCCTTTGTCTAAGCTCAACGGCTCGCTGTCGCTGCAGCAACTTCTTGCAAGGTCTCCCTTCAAGAGGGAACACATTACCTCTGTCAAGCAATTCACCCGTGCAGACCTTCATCTGCTGTTTACCATCGCGCAAGAGATGCGTCTCGGTACTCAGCGCCAGGGATGTCTTGATATCCTCAAGGGTCGCGTCCTCTGCACTCTGTTCTGCGAACCATCAACTAGGACTTCCGCTTCCTTCGATGCGGCTATGAAACGCCTTGGTGGTGAGGTCGTCGTTATCAATGAATTGGTGTCATCTACACAAAAGGGCGAATCCATTGCAGACACTATCCGCACTCTGGGCTGCTACGGTGATGCCATTGTCTTGCGTCATCCGTCGGAGGAGTCGATCAACATCGCTACCAAGTTCTCCGATGTGCCTATCATCAATGCTGGTAACGGTAGCCGTGAGCACCCAACCCAGGCTCTTCTGGACATTTTCACCATCCGGGAGGAATTGGGCACAGTGAACGGTAAGAATTTCCTTGTACGAACCTCATGTGAGACATACACTAACTCCTTTTAGGCCTCAACATTACCTTCGTTGGTGACCTCAAGTATGGCCGAACAGTCCACTCCCTCTGCGAGCTCCTTTCTCACTACGATGTCACCATCAACCTTGTGTCGCCCTCGTCTCTACCCATGCCTGCTGGTGTTACTGATGCACTAAAGGCGCGCGGTCAGCTGAACAAGGTCACCACTGAGCTGACCGACGACATCGTCGCTTCATCGGATGTCATGTACTGCACTCGCGTACAGAAGGAGCGCTTCCCAGATGTTGCCAGCTACGAGGCTGTCAAGGATGCGTTTGTCATTGACAACAAGCTACTGAAGGGAGCCAAAGCGAACATGATTGTCATGCATCCGCTCCCAAGGAACAACGAGATTAACGAGGAGGTGGACTTTGACCCAAGGGCAGCCTACTTCAGACAGGTAAGTCTAACCCTGATCCATAAGGACATGCCAGCTAACAGCATCGAAGATGAGATACGGCCTGTACACCCGTATGGCGCTTCTCGCTATGGTCATGGCTCCCTAATCAGATCATCCAGCGCACAACTTCATGGCAGGCGTTTGACGGTTTTCACGAAAACGAAGAAAGCAACAAAAAGTTTTCCTTCCGCATACTTTTCTTTCGAGTTTATACCATGACATAGACGAGCATCATCAGCAAAGATTGTAGATAGATACTCAAAAGCATTTCCACGGAGTTTTGGCCACGGGTTAACGGCATATATATGATGTATAATTATCAACATCAGGATGGGGGGAAGCTATTTCACTTTTTCTGCAGCACGTTTCGGTGTTATTCTTGTATATTTTCAAAGAGGGGGAAAGTCATTTCATTTTTATTTCGTTTTCTTTTGGCGTTTGGGTGGGTCCTCTGATCGAGGTTGGGAATATGGATCGGAGTTGAGAGGAAGATCGGTACATCAATCGGACTGGGTAATTATCGGCGGTATTATGGATAGGGATCTGCATTGTTTGGAGTCGATGGAACGGTGGGATCAAACACAATGGAATTGGAAATAAAGGTAGTCATTACTACTGCCGGGAAGAGGGAAGACGCCAGACGCCTCGCCCTTGGTGTATACAATGAAAACAGATTCCCCACGTTGCGCGAAGTCGTCGGACTATGCGTAAGAACATCGATCTCTTTGGGCACGTCATGTACGCTTCGTGAAGTTCTTGTCGCTTTTCAAAAAGCAATGGTATTGTGCCAGTAGTGGCAGAAGTTTAGTGACCAAGGCATCGCCCCCAACCTGATGTTCGTTAGCTTGTGATTCGAGAGATAGTGAGTTACGAATGTGCTCGTTCTCAGGGCGTCGCCGTGTACACCAGGCAGACGGATACAAACTAACGAGATTCTGACATGTTCAGTGAACTTACCAGGAAGACCACAGCCGAAGCCGACAAATAGGTAGATCAAAAAGATGACAACCAGCGTTAGCAGTACCATCAATTTGACATTCTTCCACCACATCCTCCTCTTTAGCGTCCGTGACCTGACCCTGAAGTCCCTCGCATTCTCACCCAGTCTGCCAGTCTTATCAACCAGGACACTCATATGCTCGCCCCTCTCCAGCACACGTTCGATGTTCTCTGTCATGATTTCCCTTACGCCCTCAATCTCGCGCTGCGCCGTCCTGAGCGCATCCTGTTGTCCAGCCTGAGTAGCACCCTGCTCTACCATCATCCTCTTCAAAGCGCCGTTGAAACTCGCACACCCATACGGCGGCAAGTCATGGAAGTTTGTGCTTCCAGGCTCAAATTCAGCAAAGAACTTCTTCTCGAGGTTCGTTAGGAAGCCAAAGGGTATGCGCTGGCCGAGGTCGCGTTCAGCGATAACGAGGAAGGTGAGGCCGCCGGCCGTGGACTGGTTGTTGGGGAAGTCTGAAGGCGACTTGACGAGGCAATGAATGAAGAACTTGGATTGATCGATGGTTTTGTGGGCGGATTTGTCGTGGGCGATGCGTGGGAGGACGAGAGAGACGAGGGAGGAGGCATTGGAGGAGGCCGAGGCGGTGTGTTCTGTCAAGACGGTTGTGTTGTGAGCTATGCATGCGCTGTGGTTTTGTCAGTTAACGGTGTTCCCAATTTGTATCATGTATGAGAGAGGCCATACTAGAGCAGCGGCGTGGAAGAAGACGAAGACGCCATGTTCAAGGTTGGTGGAGGAAGACCAAGGGCTCTGCGCTCAGCCGGGGGCGCTTTCGGTTGTTTGCGTGATTTGGAATTCGAAGGAGATTTCGAGTAGGAGATGAGTCCTCGAGAGACTAGAGCGTGGTGGTGGTGGTGGTGATGATGATGATGGTGTGGGTCTGTTGTAGTGGTAGCCGTTGATGGTGTTGGTGCTGCTGCGGAAGGAGTGCCACTAAAGCTGGGGATACTGCCTCTAGCCATGTGCGTCATAGCCAAGACGGTTCACACCTCATGCGCTAATGCATGGATTGCGCTTGCAATTGATTGATGGGGCTTGCTTGCGATTTTAGTCAACTTCGCGTCTTCCATGCGCGTGAACGGGAGTTGTCGCAGGTATCAATTTCGAAGACTTCCAGTTACGGTGGTTACGATCGCGTAGCAGCGAGGATCTGCCTGTCATTTTAATTTCCGTGTTTCGTTTGCCTTTCACTTGGACACCCCCACACTCTCCCAGCTCGCGCATACTCCACCGCTACGCAGAGACACACAACACAGTTTGAGTCAGCATGGTGCGCGTAAAGAACCGCTACCTGGTAGTCAACTTCCTATACCCGAAGCCTCCCGCGAAGAGCAAGACGCAACTTTCGGACGCCATTCAAATTCACTCGCCGACGCCCGATGCCCTTAAGCAGGGTCTTATCATACGTATGGTACGGGACGGTGTTGAAGAGCTGTTTGGCGACTATGGCTCGGGTATGGTGTCTTCGGGGCTGAAAGGTATATTGCAAAGGCTTCGAGGAATTTTCATGGCCGTACTGATGACATGCACAGTCAATTATTGCTCTCCCTCAACCAGCACCGCCATAATACGATGTCCACGAGACCACTACCAATTGGTCTGGGCAGCCCTCACATACATCACTCACTTTCCCAAGCCTCTTGATATTCCCGTCGTGATAAGAGTCGTACGGGTTAGCGGTACCATCAAAAAGGCGGAACAGGAGGTTATCCGACGGTCACAGCACATTATCAAGAGAGCAAGAGCCTGGGATGGCGCCGGGGAGCTGCCCATGTTACAGAAAGTGGAGAAGGCGGTCGATAAAGAGAGGAAAATTGAGGAGCTCGCTAGGATTGACGACGGCAACGAGAGTGAGGACATGAGCGAGTAGGCAGACTTGGGACTCTCTGCATTTTTCCATCTGCTGAGCCTGGCTTGTCGAATACCGAACACGGCCGCTAGACATCACTGCGTGCTGCTTGACCGACACCATATCCTTGCTCCTGACACTCCTCTCTGTACTGCTCGTTATAACGCACTACACGAGCTGAAGAAGATCTGGCAGATTGCTGCTTGCGCAGCTGATGTTGATCCATATCAAGGTCTTCGGTCTGCCACGAAATGTCGTGCAAGGGAGGATATGTGGAAAACCATAGTCGTCTTCGCGACAACGTTGCACAGATTGGGTCGTAAGTGCGATCAAAGCGGTGGTTGTGCCACGCATGGAGAAGCTCGACTTCCTGGTTGGTATAATTAGTGAGGAGAATAATGCACTACACGACATTGTACAAGCAATTGAGGCGAATGCCAACGCCTCAATCGATGGATTATATACATTCTTCAGATATAAATACTATTCGTACAAAGGCTAAATACTTCAATTCGGCCTCAGCATAGCAATGATGCTCGCTGTGATGACAGCCCCAGCCGCAGCGCCTTGGAGGATGGCGCTGGTATAGTCGATCCGCCGCATTGAAATGACGCGATCGCTAACAATGTCATGTGCTATGAAGCTCGCCTTTTGCTGCCAGCTTTCTAGTTTGGAGGGGGGAGTGGTGTGAGATGACGAGATTTCTTCGGCAATGGTAACGCGTTCCTCTGGTGTCAGGGTCTCTTCTTCAGGGACAAGAGCCTCAGCTTCAACAGTTACAGCGGATTCCTGGACGACTTCGGGAACGAGTTCAGGTTCGACCGACGACACGATGGTTGTTCCCGCTGTTGGGGACTCTTCAACGACCTCCTCGGCAACCACGAGCGGTGCCTTGACAGGTGCGTCTGTACGATCAACAACCCTGTCGATGTCTTGCTCAATTGCTGTTAGACCTTGCGTGGCTGACATGGGCACAAGTGCAGTAGCAGCAGCCGATGACGCTGCAGCATCCATAGCAATCTGATGCTGCGCCTCCAAAGCCTTCTTGATTTCCCTGACCATCCTCCTCCTTCGCCACGGCTCCAAGATTGCCAAACTCAATAGCAACAGGAAGATATTGACACCCATGAGGCCAAACGTGACCCAAGTACTGTTCCTTCGGATGGTGTCGCTCCAGATCTGCTCTTCGTGGTATTGTGCACGTTCCCGCTTTTCCAGTTGTGCTCGCGCGTCTTCCAAAGCATTTTCGGCGTTTGCGACGGCGTCCTTGGCTTCCCGAACGGCTTGATCATTGATGTGTTCGGAGCGAATGAGGGCCATGTAGCGTTCAAGGTCGCCATTTGACCATGAATGTTTACGCTCCAGGAGAGCGACAACTTCTTTTTGCGAGGTAGCTTGGTGGGCGAGGGCGGTGTCGAGGGCTTGTTTAGCGGAGTCGATGGCTAAACGGCGGGCCTTGACAAGTTTCTCTGCACGGTGTTAGCTGCTGCGTCGGAGCGGTACAAGGTGATTGCATATACCCTGCTCTTTGATCTCCCTCCTGAGTGCCTCGACGCCAGAGTAGTCGGTTCCAGTATATGTATTGACCTTTTGTGTGACGACGGCAAGCTTCGGTAGCAGCTCATCCATGGCATTGGAGAAGCGTTTTGAGAGGCTCCATCGCTGCTTCTCTTGATGCGAAGGCAGGTGTTCGTCCGGTACGCGAGCGATATTATCCAAGGGCTCATCCTTTGTGGGTGGTTCCGATTCTTTTGGAGGAGGCTGTTGAATTGTGGGAGCGGGCGGTTCTTGCAATGCGGCCACTGAAGTTTCTGCGGCTCGTTTGATAGCCATTTGATCCTCGAGTATAGCATTGAGTCTCCTCTCTAACCGCTCCTGGTCCTCTGGTGATGGCGGGGCTCCTGATAGCTTGGTCGGAGGTTGCTGTATGGGATTGGAGTCGTTTGCGGGCGGCGGCATTGCGATGGGATCCGATGGCTTTGGTGGTCTTCCTTGTTCCCTCCATCTTGTTGAGCTTGTGAGAGTACGTTGCGACCATTGTGCAGATGGGTTGGCGCTCAACGGCGTCTTTGCATGCCACCTCAACGCACCAGGAGCTGTGCCATGGCGACACGTCGATAAGACGGACGATGCGCTGCGAGCAACATTGCTCAGAGACGGTGACGAAGGCGCTACCGTACTGGCGACAACCGAACGTGAAGCATGCTGAAGCAGTGGCCTCATTCTTGTCTCTACCCTCACATGAAGAGCGCCTGAGCTGTATGACGAATGACGAAAAAGGGCCAAAATGCGGACCCCCGAAGCGGGCGGCGTCGCATCGAGCGCAGGCGACGTGCCAAGGCGCGTGGGGTTGCGGCATGACCATGACTGGCCGTTTAGCCAGCGTCCCTTACTTGCACGTTTGCCGGCATTCCGATTCAGGGCTTCCCTAGTGCCCCTCCATCTCATCTTTGAGAAGTTGTTGATATCGCCGAGCGCCCTTTACTTCTACTTCCACAGCCAGGACATAGAACCAGCAACACAGTCGCTCGTTTCCGTCACATACACCATGGGTTCCACACAGATTGATTTGGCAGAACTGCCTGCCATGAAGAGCAACCCAAAGGTACAACTTCTCAATCGTCTTGCCTACCTCTTGTACTGACAACGCCTAGTTCATCTTCTTCACCGACTTTGACGGCACAATCACCCTCCAAGACTCCAATGACTTCATGACCGACAACATTGGCTACGGCCGCGACAAGCGCCGCGCCGGAAACATCGCCTGCCTCAACAACGAAATCACTTTCCGCGACTCCTTCCAAGATATGATGGACAGTGTCACAAAGCCCTACGACCAATGCATCCAATACCTCGTCGACAATATCAAGTTGGACCCCGGATTCAAGGCCTTCTTCGAGTGGTCGCTGGAGAACAACATCCCAGTTGTAGTACTGAGTTCGGGAATGGAGCCCGTAATCAAGGCCTTGTTGGAGAAGTTGGTCGGCCCAGATGCAAGCAAGATGCAGGTCTTGGGCAACCACGTCGGCCCCAGGCAAGGAAAGAACATCAACGAAGAGGGTGGATGGACAATCCTCTTCAAGCACCCCGAGTCTGGTTTCGGTCACGACAAGTCCGTCGAGCTGCGGAAGTACTCCAGTCTGCCCGGGGACCTCCGACCAACAATGTTCTACGCCGGCGACGGTGTATCAGATCTCTCTGCAGCACGCGAAACAGACTTGCTCTTCGCCAAGAAGGGTCACGACCTGATCAGCTACTGCGCGCGCGAGGACGTGCCATTCACAGTCTTCGAGGACTGGTCCAATATCCTGACCAAGTGCAAGAGTATTGTAGAGGGCAAGACCACTGTCCAGGCCGCCGCCAAGGAAGGCTACGAGGCGTACAAGAGTGGCGCTGCTGGCATTGAAGTTCAGACTAAGAAATAGATGGCATTGCCGAAATTTGGTCTCGGGAACATCATTCCTAGTTCCTGGTTCCTGGGAGTTGGGACCGCCTATGTTGCGGCGCAGTAGATACCAAATCCTTTTGATGATGTGCGCACGGCAGTGGCTGCGGCATAGACAGACTATGCGGGGGAGAGAATCATCCCAAGGCATCACCATAGACTGAAACGCTCGACGGCATAGAAAGGCTATAGATACGATTTATACGATAGACTAGAATTTGATGAAATTTTTATACTCAAGAGAATGCGCCACATATGAGACGACCGTTACTATATACTGCTACAAACATCGCGCAATGAACAAGGGCTGTTGCCAGGGGTATCTCTCGCAATGCAATACAGCAACAACTGGACCGATCGAATATGTACAACTTGCCAGCGTCGTAATTCAGGCTATCTCGAAATGTTTACCTCGGTTGTCCTTACGATCGTCATACCCCTGGGGAGCACACTCCTCCTGTTACCCCTGCCAACCTCATGATCCAAGATACTTTCATCACTCTCCCCAGCTTGACTCCTCGGTCTGCTCATTCCCCTTCCCCGTCCCGCCTCGGCATAATATGTATCCTTACCCAGCACAGCGTCCTCAGTATACGGGTCCCGGCCGGTAGACGAGGAATTTTCACTCATGTTTTTCATAGCGAATGAGTTACCGGAGCGTATGTCATCTTGCTTCATGTATCCATTGGAACGAAAAGGCGTGCTGTTGAGGCCGTTGGACCCAGTGGTGCGGCCTTTTGTAGCGAGGGAACGCATTTGGCCGAAGAAGTTCGCGAAAAGGGGTTTCATGGTAGGTAGACAGGCAGCGATGATGCCCACGTGCATTTCGACTCTATTTGAAGTGTTAGACGAAGCTTATAATTGAATTGGAAAGTATGAGCACGTACTGCTGCCAGATATAATACCATGCTCCGTCACCGGACCAATCCGTAATTTTGAAGAAGTTGTACTGCATCGGTGTTTTATAGATGGCTATGGCAGAGGCGAAAAGTCCCAGACTCAGGATGACTGCCAAACCAATGCGCGTTTGGATTGTAACCTGCAACCGCCACACCATTGGTATGGGAATCAGAGCGAAAAGCAGATCGGTGGCGATGTTGATGGACGAGTTGAAGACACCAACATTCTTGAAGATATTAGCGTCATAACATTTTGCAGTTCTGCAATCGTGTTAGTACATATCGTGGATGATATAGGGCGTAGATGGAATGCGTACCCGGTCGGTGGGCGTAGGGTGTAGTCCCACCCTGCTTGCACCGGAATACATTGGAAAATGATAGCAAAGGTCGAACCAATGGTAAAAACACCGATGAAGACTATTTGTTTGTCAGTTGCTTGATAATCGAAGTTCAGGCATGTTGACTCACCCAGCATGCCGATAAGGAATGGCCGCCATTTGGTTCGGTCCGCAAGTCGCAACAAGAAGAAGCCGATGGAGAGTTTGATGAAGCTGTAGGCAGCGATGATGAATATCGAGTAGAAGTACATGACTTTGAAGAATGGGAATATGTTCTCTAGTGGGAAGGCTTCGGCGTGTTTTCCGAGACCCAGATTGATGACCTTTAAGAATAGTCCCAAGGTGGTGGAACTAAGAGCCTGTAAGGTTATAATCAGCAACCGACCCTTCCTCAGTGATATCGCACCAGAACGCATGCGTAGTAAGAGTATGGAAACCTACCAAAGCAATCGCCATCATAATGTCTGTTACAGTCAGTCATGTCTGCCATGACTTCGGATCGGTGGATCATACGTACCATCCCAACCAAACGTCTTCAGCATGAAGATCCGGACATAGAATCGCATCAGTATAGCGGCTGTCGACAACGCGAACAGGGAACCTTCCACTGCCAGCAGGCGTCCAGCCTGGTTCTCCGCCATGTATTCTGGTGACCGAGCTGGCATCATCGGCGGCCCCCCTTCCTGTCTCGAAACAATGGCATGGTACTCCATGTCAACGGTTGCGCAATCGACGAGAAAGCGATGAGTAGATCTTGTTGCTTGGACGTAGGTGTCCAGGCTATTAGAGCATTGTTCAGGAACACTTTCTGCAGGCTGTTTCCAAAGTAGCACTTAGGCACATGCAGATTGTAAAGATCCTGAACTGCGAGCAAGCGAACACATGTCTCGAGTAGTACTGGCTTTGACCAATAATTGCACTTCCGTATATGCATGGTACGCAACTTTAATGTAGACACGACGGCTCGGCAGGGTCGTGCAGCTTAGGAATAACCGGAGTGGCGGTTTCAGTGCCGAGCCGTTTTCGAGGTCATCAGTGACTCTGCAGTCGCAAAGTCTAATCCTTCATCTTCTGACGTGCCGCTCAACTGCTACGTCTTGAGCATCAAGACAGACACTTTCATTGCTTTCTTCATGCGCAAGAGGGAATGCATGCAAGATACGACTGCGCAGCAACAGAACGTATCGACGATACGACCTCCTCCATCGACACTGCGGATTCCGAACGGTCCGGACCGTCCACTCAGTGATCCAGGGCTAAAACCACGATCATAAACAAGGAACATACAGACTGCAGACGATCAATTCCACTCTTGGGAGACGGAGTTCCTACGACAACTTCCCGTAGAAGTTACTCTGCGCGATTCGCAGCCTGAGTAAGAGTGGGAGCTTACACAAGGAAGCAACGCTTTCTGGACGCAAAGTGCTGTTTTACTGAAGAAATATTGGATTACCGTAGCGACTTTCCCTTTACGTAGAGCGGTCATGCGATCCCGTCAATGGCTCGTAGTCGAGACGAGTGTAGTCTTGTGCACGGAGATGGAGACAAGCTGCGCGTTGTCTAAACGAACATACCCTGGTCATGGGCCAGTCTCAGACCTCTTCCTTCCATAGTGGGGATTCTGGTTCTGTGCCAATCACTATCACGACTGTCCTTCATCTGTTAGTCACGAGAACAGTACTGCTCAGCTGCGTCGCACGGCGCTGCGCAAATGTTCTCGTGAGATATGTGTGTTGCTCCCGTGTCGCGTATCAAAGTCAAAGCCATCGGAAAGCTACCAGTGCAGTGACAGTCGGAGGATTAGATAGGTAATTTGTTAGGCGAAGTGCGGACCTGCCGCAGACGAAGTAGGTGGTCGCATGTTAGATGAGTAAACGGGACGGTGGTCGAGTATTGGCAGGCGCTAGTTGTTCGCGCTAATCGTTCAGGCGCGACCAAGCCCGCTCCCGCGGGGACCTCAATTATCCGGTCTTTGGCATTTGTCCCGAGATAGCGTGACCAGGCGGGCCGCCTACCTTATTCCCCTCCCGTTCATAGTCCAGGACTCCAGAGCTTCTCTCCGTGGACAGGGTCTCCGATCAAAACTTTTATTAGCCTCCTTAATGCATATTGCCTAAGCATGAATGCCTGTCAAAGCACCTGGTACCAGGTACCAATTGGTCGATCCATCATGTTCATCGGACTACAAGCAGAATATAGCAGGTACCGATGTATTTCCAGAAGCCTGACGCCCTTCCCCTCAATCCCGCACCCGGACATCATGCGACGCGGCCGGGTAAACTAAAGTGGCGCCTGGTCGAGGTGAAATTTTCACCAGGATTATGCTTCGATTTGTCCATTCACTCCCCTGACCGAACAGTCTGGTCAGATCGATATGTAAATCTGCTTCAGGGTAGAACCCGAGCACATCGGTCACGACCAGCTAGCACTTGTGCTGGGACGTGTTCACGTGCCGGTATGTCTTCCTCGGTGAAGCCATCTCAAAAAAAGTGTAGTAGCCCACACGGCTTAGCATCCACTTCTTGCAGCCACTTGCACCAGTCCCTGACAATCCCGTTCTACCCACTACCCTGCCCACCTTTTGGTGAACTCGCAGCCGAGAGCTCCGATAACCAGGCATCCAATGGTGTCCGCCCGCTAACGCGTCTTACACTCGTTTACAGGCGTTAAATCCGCCCCAAATCCTTCCTTCTACTCACCTATAGGGGCGAGACTCATGCGAACCCACGTGTAGCGGAGTTTTGAAAACGCCTTGTCAAATCCCACAAGGCGACCTCGGCATTCGCCAGCCGCCAGCCGCCTATTCGATGGTAGAGCATGCACCAAGGAGCTTTTTGAACCCCTTCGAACGCCTCAAGGTTATTGGCGAATAAAACTTCAGTATGCCATAAGCTCAAGGGCCACACCGACTGACTCAATGCCTATCATTACCTGCCCGGAAACAACAAACCGAGCTAATGGGTCTGAAAACAGTACGAAGTTATACAGCACAGGTATTCTATGCCGATATTAGACTAGATGGAGGCGAGTGTTGGATTGCTTCCTGCGAGTATTTGAAGGCACATGCAGCCTCAAAACTTTAGACAGGGCATCGCCACGTTTTGCTCACGCCTCTTTCATCTCCTAATATTAATACAGTAATCGCTAGCTTGTGTTGGCCTTTCATCCGGAACCTTATTCGACGTCCTCGACCGTTTCAGTCGTCTGCTCGTCTTCATCCTTCACAAGCCTCTCTAGACCTTCGATCACCCATCTTTAACCGGTTCGAAACGCCATCATGCGTACTGCTGCATTCCTTTGGCTCGCTCCTGCAGCACTAGCCAGTGCCATCCCTTCCTTCGAAGAGGCTTCTCCCGCCATCTCATTCGACAAGAGGCAGAATGTATCTCCCAACGTCCTCGGGGGCAAGATCCTGCAGGCTGATTTGTACGCTGGTGTCGCTGCCATCAACCAGCAGATCTATCAGGCTACCCAGAAGCCTGACCAGTTCAAGAAGTGCAATCCCCTGAACCTGATTGTTCGCAAGGAATGGTAAGGCGTCAGCAACCGAGATGTGGATTGTACGCTAATAGACTTAGGGCAACCTTTACTACACCGGAGAAGAACGACTATGTCAAAGCCGTCCAGTGCATCTCCAAGCTGCCTCCTAAGACACCCAAGTCTGAGTGCCCGGGCTGCAAGAACAGATACGGTAAGTTATGGCCGTACGAAATGCATGTGAGACATACACTGACTTCGCATCTCCACATCTGTAGACGACTTTGTGGCAACACATATCAAGCAAACATTTGCCATCCACAACACTGGCAACTTCCTCCCATGGCATCGTTACTTCACCTACGCTTACGAGCAAACCCTCCGTAACGAGTGCGGTTACAAGGGCTATCAGCCATACTACAACTGGCCCCGATGGGCTGACGACCCGATGAAGAGCCCTACTTTGGACGGCTCTGCCACCTCTATGGGCGGTAACGGTGACGCTGGATGCAGCAACCAGACCTTCTACGGTATCCCCACCAATGATGCTCCTCTGATCAAGATCCCCAAGGGAACTGGTGGGGGTTGTGTAACGTCTGGCCCATTCAAGGATTGGTCTGTCAACCTTGGCCCTGTCTTCACCGACTCTCTCTGTACGCCTCCCAACCCGATCGTCGACTTTACAGACCCCAACATGGGACTTGGGTACAACCCTCGCTGTCTGAAGCGTGACATCTCTGCCTGGACTTCCAGGCAGTGGACCAACGATGAGATGGTTGTGAAGCTGCTCAACAGCCCTGACATGAAGACCTTCTGGTACGACATGCAAGGTGGTGACCCAGCTTTCACCGAATTCATGGGTGTGCATACGTAAGTTGTATTCAAGGAAGACGTATTCAAGACATGCTAATATTCTACTAGGGCCGGTCACTTCACTGTTGGTGCTGACCCTGGTTCTGACTTCTTCACTTCGCCTGGTATGTTCTCTTACGTCAGCTTCACAAAGACGTTCGGCTAACAACGAAACAGGTGACCCATATTTCTACTTCCACCACGCCCAGATCGACCGTGTGTGGTGGTCGTGGCAGAACTTGAACCCTGCCAACAGGACCAATGCCATCTACGGAACGATTGCCCTGGGTGACCCTACCGCCCCTGCCACCAAGCTCACCGACACCATGACTCTCGGACATGCCTACCCTGGCAACATCACTGTTGGTGATGCGATGAGCACTATGGGAGGACCTTTCTGCTACACGTACATCTAGAGACGGACCCTCGACTTTGCTTCGACCTTCTTGTATATACTTGACCTGTACATATTGATCCGGATCGGTGGACTGTAGTCGATTTGCTGTTGAGCTCAAAAATAGACCAACCACGCGTACCCTGTGCGATGGAAGTAGACTAGCAACCCAGAACATCCATGGCCATTTTTCTGACTGAGCGCGTGATGACTGCAAGCCTTGTCTGGATCGCCTGAGCATGATGAATCAGAAAAACCCAAGCATAGCGAATGTCGATATCAGAGTAGAAAGTGGAAACTAGCACGATCTAACGCATGTTCCGCAGCGCTAAGCGGTCACCATACCTGGGCTGCATATGTCCCGCAACGAATATGAATGGGCGGGGTCTCTCCATCCAAAAGCGCGGAGACCCTGCAGTGCCAACGCATCACCGCTGAAGAAGAATCGAGGGCGGTCATGTCCTCCAATCCCTCCGACCACGCCGGTTTCATACGCTGTTTGAGATCACAGCCACCCTGAATCGGAGCACGCCTCGAGCATTATTGGCATCTTAGAGTCAGCATTGCAGGATTCGCGATTCGAGTGAACCCTTACCCCGCTAAGATTCTAGCTTCCCCGACTTTCTGGATCCAGGGGACGACGAATGTTGCAACAACCATCGCAAGACATCCCCAACATAGCAGAGAGCATTGCCAAACAGTAAAAAACTTGCGCAGAGCACAAGAACCCCTCCATCATGAACGTCGACCCTCTGACTGGCAAACCGCTCCCTTCAACCGCCATCCAACGCATCCTCTACCTCGCGCCCAAAGTCCACATCTACCAGATCCCACCTGCGACGTCTACAAAAGGCTACCAGGCCTCGACCTGGACAGCCGACAACAACAAGCTCCAAATCTTCACGGCTCGACTACGCGTCGTCGAGACGTCAATACCGTCGAATGAGGAGCAACAAAGCAACGACGATGCAGAGGAGAAGGTCACAACAACACTCCTATTGGAAGATCCAAAAACGGGGGACCTGTTCGCCGCGGCACCATACACAAGTGAGAGGACGGTAGAACAAGCATTGGACAGTAGCCGCTTCTTCGCCATCACCGTCGTGGGCGAGGGCAGGAAGGCGATCCTGGGTATGGGCTTCGAGGAACGCAGCGAAGCCTTTGATTTTAGCATTGCGCTGCAAGACGCCCGTCGGGTACTTGGCTTTGAACAAAACCCCGCTGCGACATCGTCATCCCGCTCCTCCAAATCCGCACAAACACCCGTCGCCGAAGAACCAAAACGCGATTTCAGTCTCAAGGCCGGCGAAACGATATCGATAAATCTGGGAGGCTTGAAGGGACGCAGGTCAAGATCACATGAGGGAGGCGAGAAGAGTGAGGAAGGTGATGGCAAGAGCGAACAAGATGCGCTGTTCAGTATAAAGCCGCCGCCGGGAAGTGGGGGTGGGGGTCCCGGATTCCTGCCACCACCGCCAAGTGCGAAGAGTGTCAAGGAGGAAAGGAGGAGAAGTAGGCAGAACTTTGATGCTGCCAGCTTTCAACCGCCCAAACAGACGGCGGAGGATTTGGGCTTCGACGATGGCGAGTTTGGCGAGTTCCAATGAGAGGGGGCTACAAATAAGTGGGAGGTATTTTGTGCATGTTTAGCATTGGAGTTATTGTTTGCACTGGCTTAGGTCCTCCGCGCATGGGAGGCGTTTTGAAATCAAGACATGGCAAGTTTCAAGGAGACGCCTGTTTTGCTGAGTGTGTAGGTGCGTTTCGTCGAGTGAAAGCGAGGTGTGTTGGGTATATCAATCTACAAACGCCGATGCTATGTGCCCGGAAAGAATACTTCAATCGCCGCTCAAGAGTATGTCCAACCCTGCGCTTCATGGTACAGTCTTTCAATGTCCCGAATCAGATCCTCTGGCTTTTCTCCACCCTCGCAGTCCTTGAACTTGCCTCCATCGGTAACACAGCGCACTTTGTCGTCCAATCTCACGGTACAGCTGGTGGTGACGCCTACATGGCTACTATGCTGCACGCTATCTCGCAAAAGACCCATGCCGTATGCGCCGTTCTCCTTGCTCATGCAATCGTTGAGCACGCCAAAGTCCAGGCCATGCTCCAGCGCGCAATCTTCGATGAGGGAGCGGGCGGGTATCTCGGAATAGTCGTTTGTAAGGCAGTTGGTGAAACCAAGGTAGAGCTTAGGATCGGGGTACTCGGATGCGGCGCACAGCATGACAATGTCGCCTAGACATTCTGTTTGGCCGTGTTTGCATTCAACGCCGTCGTCTGCTGTCAGGCTGCCTGTGTGTCAGCTACGTGGGCTGCTTGGGCGGGGACGATGCAACGTACCTTCCGATCATGCTCAAGCGGAAGTCTACCTTGTCCGACACGTTGGCCATGGCGGGCAAGACGAGCTTCTTCAGGCAGTCGCGCGCATCTGGACACTTTGACATGATGTGCACATCGACCGGTACCTTTGTGTCGGCCTCGTCGTGCATGTCTGTACATGTGAAGGTGCGTGCCAGCCAGAACAGACTGAAGAGCAACACAAAAGCCGCCATCTGGAGTCGCGTCCTCCTTGTCTTGCGAGATGGCATCGTCTCGTCCGGTGGCGGCGCCTTGATGTGCTCGTGCGTGTCCGGGACGAGGGGCACCTTCTCTTCCATTGCGTGGGACGGTGTCGGGGCCGACGCGAGGTTTTTATCTAGGGCTTCGTATAGGCGTAATGGGCGGGTGGTCTGGACGCTGCGGTGCTGAGCTAGAGATGGGCTTGTGTGATGTGATGGACATGGTCAAATGGGGAAACATGGTCTGATAGGCGTTCGGGCTTATTGCTGATAGCGTGGCTGACTAGGGCTGTGGGCGGCAGATCTAGGTACCAGCAAAAGCAAAACAATCTAAACTCTGTATTTAGTGAGCGTTGCACACGTCGACGAGCCACATTCCCGTATGACGTGATGCCCTATTCACACTTCTCGCACGCGTGCACTTCCCAAACACGTGAAAAGAGCCGAGGAGGACAGCACGGCGGAACAATTGGCCGTCGTGCCCGTCGTGCTGTAGCCGTGTGGCGTTCTACACGCATGTAACACCGAGCTTCGGAGGGGCTACACGAATCCTACCTTACGAACCATTCATCTGCTGCGCGCGTAAGGCCTGCCAATCCCACGCCTCTCTTTTCCTTTTCGCTTCTTTGCTCATGATGAGATGACTTTTTGCCTGGTTGACCTTCTACTTATCCTACTCAGACATTGAATTGTTCTGCAATCCTCGAGCCTGATTCCCCCCTTTTCCATCTGGCCGCCTTCCACTTCCAGATTCGATAACACATGCGGCAGCCCTGCATCACTTCCCCTAGATCCGTTCCTGAAGCCCGGCACCAACCCGAAACATGGCGTCGGATGATCAACATGACGCTGCATCGGCTGCGATTCAAGCATTGACCGGCTTTATCAATACGAGCACTTTGCTTCCTCTAGCCCAGCAATTTTCGGCAACCTACAGTCATCTGGCCAAGTCTTCCACCGAGCACTTTCTAGTCACTCCCGTCACGGCACTACCCACGGGCAAAGAGAAGGGTAAATTCTTGAGCATCGATGTTGGTGGTACGAATCTAAGAGTCGGATTTGTTGAGCTAATCGGAGAGCCAGATGGCGCCGCAGAGGATGAGCGGACACGGAGTAGCACGGTTGGCGAAAACGTGTTTGCTCGTATCAAGAGGAGCCACGACAGAGACTGGCCCATTGGAGATCACCTGAAGATGGACCAAGCTGAAGACTTGTTTGCCTGGATTGGTGACTGTATCGCCGAGGTTGTCAAGAGTGCTCTTGAAGAGCAAGAGACCATGAAAGATATCACATCTCCTCTGGGCGATGAGATTCTGCTTGGCATCACCTTCAGCTTCCCGATGGCGTAAGTCTAAATCCGCCCGTAGATTGTAACATCCTACTAAAGCATAATGCAGACAAGATCGTCTTTCAGAAGCGACTCTGCTACCAATGGGCAAAGGATTCGCCATAACTTCGGACCTGAACCTGGGCAAGATGCTTCTCGCTGGATATGCGCGATACTGCCACACCAATGATGCAGCAAGCCAGCTCAACCATTCCAAGTCACAATTACCAAGGATACGGGTAGCGGCCATCACAAACGACACCGTAGCAACATTCGCATCCCTTGCCTATGCAGCCAAAGCAGCACCCAACAGCCGCGTTGCCATGGGCCTCATCGTCGGTACTGGTACCAACGCAACCGTACCAATGAAGCCAGAGAGTCTTCATCCTGATAAGAGAAGTGCACTCTCAAACCCGGATGCCGTCGAAAGCGTCGTCATCAACACAGAGTGGACGATTCGTGGCACGGACAGGCCCTTGGTCGACCTGAACATCAAAACATCCTGGGACATGACACTCGATGCCAACAGCGATGCACCGGGCTTCCAACCATTCGAGTACATGACCTCTGGGCGGTATCTTGGCGAGATTGTACGATTGGTTTTTGTCGATGTTGTGTCAAAAGAAGAAAGTGTGCACGTACCATCGTCACTGATGCTCAAGAACGCCCTACCAACCCGCTTCCTGTCGGAAGTCGTCGCGCGAAAGGGGGGTCGCATCGTACAGGAAGAGCTCGAGAGCAGGTACCCAGATCCTGAAGATTCGGATGACTTCTTCTGGACTGTCGACAAGGTGGAGTTGATACGGGACATTGCCGAGGCTGTCCAGCAGCGCTCTTCAGCTCTCATCGCGGCTGCTTGCGTTGGACTGCTGAACTGTGTGGGTGATGTCGCACTAGACAAGCAACAGACCTCAAGCAACGGTGCTCATGCAAAGGGGAAACGCGAGATAGAAGAGCTGGTAATAGCATACGCCGGAGGAACGATATCACAATACCCCAAATGGCTACAGACATGTCAGCAATGGATAGATATCCTGGTCGAGGAGGGTTCTTCGTCGAACAAAAACAAGCAAATCACGCTCAAGGAGGCCAAAGACGGAGGTATTGTCGGCGCAGGAGTACTCGCAGGCATGACAGATGAGATAGTATAAGATTAGGCGAAGAGTTGCCTCAAGGCACTATCAAAGACTACGACTCGTACAGCCAGTGACAGTGCCACATCGACATTAAACACATTTCAAGTAGCCAGAAACAAAGCACATGATACCCTAAGTCCCATCTCCTCCTATCTACCTTACTGGTAGCTGCGCCTGCCACTCAGGATCAACCTTACTCTGCTTGAAGAAACTCTTGCCCCTCAACCACTGCCTATACGCCTTATACCTCTTCTTTGCCGTATCCTCTTCCTCTACATCCAGCGGGTTCTCCTTGACGCGCAAAAATTCTTCAAACTCCTCAATGTCCTCTTCTGGGGTCTGAAACTTGCTTCCGGTAGACTGTGGCTGTGGAGGCGGCTGCTGGACATCAGAGTAGACGTGCGGGTGTAGATTGTACGTTTGCGGGTACGAGTAAGAGGGCGCGTGGGAGAAGGGCGTGCTTACGGACTGTGAGGTCATGGGGCGGGCGAAGGAGTGGTGAGACGGGAGATCTGTGTCCAGGCGAGGTAGATCAGAGAGTGTGATTTGAACGCCATCTTCGTCAAAGTCTTTTGGTGCTGGGATGCTGCCTTCGGTCATGGAAAGGTAATCGTAGAATTCCATGGCGCTGGGGTCGTCAGCGCTGGGCATTTCGCTACTGACTACGAGGGGTAGGTTGAGTGGATGCTCAATATAGCGGGCGTATTCTTCTTCTTCGCCGTGGGATACAGATGGATTCATGCTGTTTTCGTAGAATTGCGTTAATGTCCACTGATGGACTAGGGCTTTATCAGCTGGTTTAAAGCCGGGCTTGACTGTAGATGAGAGGCCAGTCGAAGTTGACGTTGAATTAGTCAGAGACTGATATGCTGATGGTGGTGGAGCTGGTAGATGTGTCTCAAAGTGCGAATCTCGGAGAATCGAATGTCGGACAGATGAATCAACGCTAAGATGCAAATCTCTACCGCGAATACCTGGGATACGATTTGGTTTTGCCTCTGTCTCGCTGGACGGATCAAGTATAGTGACGCCTTTTCGAGGGCCTTTCTTTCCGTCTCTTCCTTGTGCGTCGTGGTCTTGTTGCTTGGTGCGAGGGACGAACGGGGACATGTTTTCCTTGCGAGTTGGAAATGTTCCATCTCGGCTATCACGACCTGGTCGTGGCTTAGCTAGACGAAAGGCGAAGATTTTGAGATACGAAGAGATAGCTAGTGGTCTGTAGTATTCGAGCCAGTAGTCATCACGGAAGCTGATAAAGTCAAACGCCGTTGCCTCGGTTGGCTGGGCTGGCATGACTGAGGGTGGTAATCTGCGCTGTTGAAGATGCGAAAGTGTGTACCATTGGATATAATCGCGTCGTGTGCGCTCAAGGAACGCTTTCGGATCTTGGTGATGGAGGTAATAGTCTGTCGACAAGTCCCATAACATTGGTTGGCCTTGACGGTAGGTATAGTTACCCAAGAACAAGTTGTAGGCCTCTTGACGCTGGGAGTCGAGGAATGAGTTGTGGTAGTAGCGCTTGAAGCTCTCAACCATATCGCGTGAACTACTCTGCCATTGATTGATTTTCCGATACGTAGCCATCGTGTTGACCAGATGGGAACCACCATACTGGATCGCAATAGTGTCACCGTGCCCGTGAAACATCTGTGTGAAGAGTTCAACGCAGTCGGAGTCGTACTCTACTGTGTTGCCAGATATGACACCCAGCGCTTGCAGCTGTCGACCTAGTGCTCGCTTCCCAATGACGAATTGAGCAGCATTGGTTCTATCCAGGCAGTCGATGCAATTGGTTCGCGCTACTCCGTTTTGAACTTGAGGCGTATCGAACTCGTTATCGCCGTTGCGAAAAAATCCAGTCTTACGCAAAACCTTCTCAGCCAGATTTTCCAAAGTGCCAATGACGTCTTGACCTCTCGTCTTGGCCGCCCTTGACATGTCGAACGCTTCGTATATTATCTTTTTGTCATTCGGCAGGGATTGATTGAGATAGTCGATGGCGTGTTTGTATTCATAGAGCAACTTCGATTCTCTCGGGGTTCTCTCTCGCGCCTTGATGAGGTTGAGAACGTATACTGGAGCACCATATCGATCGAACAAGTTGTCAAAGTGTAGTCCTGCTGCACTGTAGAAGGGGTCTACCAGGCTTAGGTCGATGTCGGGCTTTGGCGTTACGCCAGTATTGTCTTGGGTCCAATATAACGGTATGCTACCACGATGCTGCACGTAGGATGTGTAGGATGGATTTGCATACAATCGTGGTCCAGGGGCATGAAAAGACGTGGTAGTCTGCTCAGACACAATCTGTTCTGTCTCAACATCATTGGCGACATATCCGAGGTCGTTCGTTCCGCGCTTGAGAAAGCGAGCACCAGCGAAATATCTGGATCGCCGAGCAATAATGGTAAGGTACACTCGTCGCCCAAATATATCCAGAGAAGACTGGTCCACGTATCCGTGTATCACGGGGTGGCACCAGTCGTATACATTCTTCAATGCATCCCGTGCAGGGTTCAGAAGATGATGGTTCCAGACAAACATGTCTTGGAAATCGCGCTCGGGGTTGGAGATACCTTCACTAAGCGCAGTCCGTTGATGGATGATGTTCTGTTGCAAGCTTCTCGTCACGTTGTAGG